CCGCTTAGGCGCTTAGGCGAGTGACGGCCGGCTGCCCGGGGCCTGGCGTGCCTCCGGGTGGGGTGGGCGCCTGGGAGAGCCACTCTGCAAGTGGTGTGCGAGCGTGTAGCCTTTAGCGTGCAGTCGGCCCACAGCTGAGCTCACTACTTTCCCGCCGTGTCGGCGTCCCGCGCCACCCATCGCTCCGGGCTGTCCACCCACGCCCATCCCTGTTTGGGCTTTTGCAGCGGCTTCTCCGCGCGGATCCAAGCGTGGCACTGGTCGAAAGGCGTCAGTAACGCGGCGGTGGCAGCAGCCTCGTCCACGCTGCACTCAACGAGCATATCGCCCTTGCCGCAGATGTGGCACACGCTGCTTGGCGCGTGTGGCCGGAGCTGTATCCCGGCGGCCGGCCCCCACGTCCGCCGCTGGCCCGGCCTCCACATTGGGTGCGCTGCGCACTGCGGGCGCGAGCACGCGTGCAAGGCGACGACGGTCTCGTCGAGGAGCGACGAGCGAATCACGTAGCCGCGCGAAAACTTCTTGGAGTCGGCCAGCATCACCGCACCTGAGGGAAGTGTCTCGGAAGTGTCTCGGGAGTGTCTCGGGAGTGTCTCGGAAGTAGTCGGCCAGCATCACTGCACCCATCGCGAGTGCGGCGAGCGAGCTGAAGGCGGCGAGGCACGCGTGCACGCCAAACCAGCCACGCGCGCGCAAGATCGACGGGAAGGAGCGGAGAAAGGACAGTGCGGCGACAGAGCCGACGACGGAGAGCAAGCCCGAGAGGACGGCGGCGCCCTCCTTGCCAAAATCGAGGGAGAAGAGCGCAAAGGGGAGCGACGAAGGCAAGGCGATGGTGGCGCCCGCGACCGAAGCGAGGACGGTCTTAGCCGGACCGCTGAGAGCAAGGAGCGGCTGGGCGGCGTCCAATGGCGGCTTTGGCGCCGCCTCCACCCAACGCGCGGAGCTGGGCGCGGCCCGTCGCCACGCGGCCACAAGCGACCGCACTGTCCGGTCAGATGCGACCGCCTTGACCCATGCCGCCGCCGGAGCGTCGGGCTCAGCGAGCGCCAGGGCGAGCCAGCAGCCCACGTTGACGAGCAGCAACCCTGACCAGCCCGAGTGAGGGTTCGGAATTCACGAGGGTTCGGGCTTCCCGCCGCCAAGGAGGCTGACGCTCGCGACGCCTCTGAGAGTGTCCCCGGTGCTGGGATGGGCGAGTGGGGACAGGGGCGGGGCGGTAGGGGCGCGTGGGTAGGGATGCGGGTGGGGACTCGCGCCGAGGACAAGAAACGCACGATCGAGCTGCGTGGCTCGGTCGTAGAGCACCGACCCCACCAGCAGGGCCGAGAGGTACGAAAAGACGTACCCTCGGTACCTGTTCACAGCTGGAGGTGTGAAGAGACGCTCTTCACAGCGAGAGGCTTCGAGTCTTTATCGGTACCTCCCCTCGCACAAGCTCGACTGCATGCACACGAAGGCGCCCTTGGCGGGCCCAGCATCGGACACCATCTCCTTGAGGTACGACGTGACGTGGGTCGAGTACTCCACCGCAGGCGAGTAGCTCCCTGCCGCGAGCAACATGGCCCAAAACACCCAGCGCGTCGCCACCTTGCGCAGCAGCCGGCCCAGCTCCACCGGCGGCGCGCGCTGGCGCGCGCCGCCGCCTCCGCTGTCGCCGCGGTTTGCCCCGGCGGCGTCGGCCGCGCGCTCGGCGAGTCGGCCCTTGCTCTCTTGCGGCGGCGGCGGCGGAAGCTCGCGCAGCCACGCAGCGCATGCGACCAACAGCAGCGCAAAGCCGAGCGCGCACTGGCTCATCGGGAGCTGCCACGGCAGCCGGCCGGCAGAGAGGAGCGGCTGCCAGTAGTACGAGGCGAAGAGGTAGCCCAGCTGGAAGCCAGAGAAGAGCAGGGCGAAGACGCGGCCGTAGACGCGCCGCGGGAACCACCCGCCCACAAACGGAAG